GCAGCGGGGAAGAGGGCGGCTCTGGGTGGAGCGGCGGCGGCGGCGAAGGGATGAAGGGCGGCGGCGAAGGGAGACCTCGCTCGAGGGCAGGAGTCGTCGATCGCACGTGCGGGCGATAGGTTTAGGTTTTTTTTTTGTCGCTGGTTAGTTTTCGTAGGTCTTTTTTCGTTGGTTAACCATCGTAGGTCTTTTTTCGGTCGTAGGTGCATGGGTGCGGGTTGGGTCTCAACACGAGGTTTTTTCGGTTCGTGGTGGCTAAGTCGGAGGTGGGAGAAGGTACCAAAAAAACCATGAAAGATGGAACGAAAAAAAACTGGAAGCAAGACTACCAACTGCTTCATTAGAAGTAGAGATTCTGCCTAGCTTTTGCTCCATTCATTACTGTAGGACACCACATATATTAAGCACTGGGAGATGGGCAAAAGAAATGGGAAGCAATCTGCTTCATCAAAAGTGCCGCGTTTCTGGGGTTTTATAGCATGAAATCTCGAAATATACGTACTATTTTGAGAGGGTAAAGTTGTATGCACCACACCATGTGGTATCGTACCAACGCTTCACCTGTGCGTATACGGTAGGCAGATATCGCCCTACTTGATGGTCCCGATTTTCAGTGATACCAGCAGTTCAGCACACACACACACACGGTTGTTGGCTTGTTATTGCTCGCCTGGGCGTGCACAGTTCAATCAGCCTCGTCAGAGCTTTGGTTCTAGGTACAGAACAGTGGTTGTATTTTACGAACGCACAATTCATGTCAGGCTGGTACTCGGACACGATACCGAGATAGGGACATTGATACACTGACAGGCAACGCAAATGCAGTTCCCAGATGCCAAATTGTAAGGCTCTAATCATGTTTGATTGCATGAGGCATTAGACATGGGAAATACTCCCTCTCATCCATAATAATAGATGGCGCAGTTTTAAACTAAGGTCAAAGGGAGTAGATTTTTAGTCCCACTCTTACTTCGTACACCGTGGAAATTAATCCGGGATGGAAACCTGCTCATGGAAGAAATTGGCAGTAGTAGTTCCAAATTGAGAGGCCATGGCAGACATCGGCGAGGCGGAGTCGCACTCTCCGACATTGAGACGGACGGCCTGCAACCCCGAGCACCAAAGGCCGCGTCGTGATGGATGTGTCGGCCTTCGACCACGACGGATCCATCGAGTCATGTGAGCCGGTGTGCGTCTCATGTTCTACTCTACCTCGTCGGCGATGGCATCAACACTGCGAGGAGTGCAACCAACCACCGGACATGGGCACGACAGAGCCGGACATGCTCTACTTGATATTAGATTTCACGTGCATGTAATTGTATGGATGTAAGGATTCGTAATCGTAATTGAGGTATCCGTTTGTGGAAACAAGTGTGACCGGTCATTGTCCGTTGAAGGAGTATTTAACAAAAAACTACCACAATTCGTGAAACCGTGTCTAGAAACTACCACTTTACAAATTTGTGCCCAAAACTACCATTTTTTCACTAATCCTTGACAAAAAACTACCAAGTCTGAAAAGAGCCCGATTCGGCTTTTTTAAACGCGTTTCTGACTAGTTGGGCCCGCACGTCAGTGTCTATCTTCTTGCTCCTCCTATATCTCTTTTAGGCATTTCAACAAACACCTCGTCTTCGTGCCTCGCGGCAGGGAGCTCGCCGGCGAGGCCCAGCACGGCGGTGCACCCCTCGGCGCACGCGTTTCCCTTCGGGCTCGAGTCGCCGGAGCGAAGGATGGGGGAGCTGTACTTGACGGATTCGCCGCGCCGCGTGAGGGCGGACGCGTCCCACGGCTCCAGCCTTCGCGCCATCGGAGCGACGCGTCCACCACGATGAGACGACCCGCGGCGGCGCCTCGTCTTCGAGACAAGAGCAGCCATGACCGATCCCGCCGCCGCACCCGTAGTTTGTGCCGCAGCAGAGGTACGCGGCGCAGACCTGGCCGCACCCGCCACACTACAAGCTGCAGTTTTTGCCGCAGCCGCCACAATGCTATGCCGGGGGCGAGGCCTCGAGCTCTCGCTCGGAAGAGCCAAAGCCACGGATTCACGAAGACCCGAGGCTGGAGGAGTTCAAATCGGAGTTGCTCTGTTCCCCGACGAAGCTGGAGCAGCTGGTGATGTCCCGCTCGGGGCCCTCGGCGCCAGCCCGCAAGGCAAGGAACATAAGGGAGCAGCCGGCGCGGGCGGCAAGGAGTAGCAGGAGCAGCAAGCGCGGTCGGGCACGACCATGGCTGAGCTCGAGCCCGGGCACGGCGGCGGCCATGACTAGCTCCTCCCCGGGACGGCAATGTGCCACGTCAACGCTTATGTGTGGGCCCAACCAGTCAGAAACGCGTTTAAAAGAGGCAAATCAGGCTCTTTTCAGACATGGTAGTTTTTAGTCAAGGATTAGTGAGAAAATGATAGTTTTCTGTACAAATTTGTAAAGTGATAGTTTGTAGGAACGTTTCTATGAAATGTGGTAGTGTTTTGTTAAGTACTCTCCGTTGAAGCGTCCAGACGCGTTCACGAGCTTTTAAGAAGTCGGATTTGGTGTATCCAACTGTAGATGCTTTAACTCCCGTTTCCTATCTCTAATTTTCACGAACCAAACACACTGCAATGCTAGGTTGCTTCTTATTCTCAAAGAGGTTAGGGAAAGACCTATGTATTTACAAGGAGAACTAACTCTCACGACGATCTTGGTCACAAGAATATAGAATATCTGTCCGATTCATCTAACCCATCCGCTTCATCCTCAGTCAGCCTAGCCTCTTGTTCTGATGATGGTAATGGTGCCCTTCCCTCCGGTCCTGATCTTGGTGAGGCTGACGACCGCCTTCCCGGACAGGCCCGGCCGGTTAGTCGACGACACGACGGGGCCGCACGCGAACTGGCCGACGGGGTGCCGCACCGGCCTCGCCGGCCGCTTGAGGATCCTCCGGTTAACATCGTTCAGCGTGTCGCCGTCCAGCACCAGCGGCTTCACCACGGCAAACGGGTACAGCACCCCCTCCTTCCTCCTCCCTGCGCCAGAAAGAAAGAACGAAAAAAAAAACCCGTCGTCAGCCTGCCACCCACGTCAAACAAAAAGATGGCGGCCCATCCTAGAAGCCGGCCACCCCCTGGCGCCGCAGGGCCAGTTCAGCGGCTCAGCTGCACACATGCGCGGGTGCTAATTGCTCGCCGGTCGGCCACACCCACACCCACCTGCCAGCGAGGAGCAGGACGAGGAGGACGCCGGGCCGCAGTTATTGCCGCTGCCGCTGCCGCGCCCTGCAGTAGCCTTTTGCAGCGGTGGCCGGGGAGCAGCAGCAGCCGTGGCGGAGGAGGGTGGCGGGGGCCCTGCCGCCGCTCCACAAGCTTCTCCCTGCCCCGCTGCCGCTGCCGCTGCCGCTGCCGCGCTCCGGCCCCCCTCCCCCTGCCGCTGCCCCCTGCCCGATGCAGCGCCCTCCTCTGCAAAGACAACGCCGCTCCATTTAGCAGTTATTGAACACAGTGTCATCACAGTAGAGCGCGCGCTGCCATCGTCTCAAACTGTATTGGTTGATCATCGGAACATGGCGCTTCCAGTGAATCATGAATGCTCTCATTGGATTTTTGCTGTGCGGTGGTACTACGTAGTGCTAGCTTAAGCTCTGTGCGTGTGTGTGTGCGACGAAATGAGCTGAAAGAAAAAAGAGGGCGTGCGATCATCACCTGAGACAAAGCCGCTGGTCTCCGGGGCCGGGGCCATGGTGCTGAGGTCATGGAGGAGCGCTCCCTCGCCGCTGCTGGGATCCCAGAAGCTCTGCGTTTTTGCGCCGTGCCGAGCAAGAGACAAGCACAAGACGACGGGTTAGAGAAAGGGTGGAGCAGGACAGCATGCCGCTCTCTGCGAGGAGACACGGACACGACTGAACCAGTAGTACTTTCTTTTTCGTGTCCATTAGCGTGACAGTGACGGTGAGGTTACAACCTTTAATTACTGTGTTTGTTGTCTAAAGTAGTTACCCAGGATTAGTAATTAGAGAATATGTGTACTCTAGACGACGTGACAGCAGACACCTAATAATAATAAAGCAAGCAGAATAGCTACTCCGGGTTCGGGTTAAAATTTCAATGTTCGTCGCACGGCCAATGTTGCTGATGAGGTGATGATGCAGCAAAATTTTCAGTAGTGATTAGCGAATACTCGAGCATCTAGCTCCAGCGCCGAGCCATGGCGAGTGGACAATCCTACTACTGCGTCGCTAGAGATCATCATCGGCCATGGGGAGTGGGGCGAGAGCTCACCTGAAGAAGGCACTGCAGGTCCTCGCTCGCCATGGCCGGGCACCGCGGCGGACCCTCCCCCGCAGCCGTCCTCTGCCGCTTGCTCCGGTCGCCCCACTGCGCGATGGCGTCCTCCAGGTAGCCGCCCCCGCCGCCGCCGGTCGACGCCTCCGACGACGACACCGGCGACTCCTCCCCCCCGCCACCTACTGCGCCGCAAACATCCAAGGCTCAGTAAATACCGCCACACCCCACAGCCAATGCCTCTAGAGTTGGTCTAGACTAGACCAGCCACAGTGCCACACGCGCAAGGTCAGCACCATCACGGGCACGCACGCACGCACGTACCGACGTGCGTATGCGTGTGGCGGTAGACTAGACCAGTCTCGCGCGCGTGGCATGGCACGCAGTGAAGGAGTAGGTTTCTTACACGAGGGCAAGCCCGGGAGCGCGCCATGAGTGCCGTCGCCGAGCTGGCACCGCACCAGCTCCTCCCAGTCCCACTCCCACTCCCAGCCCCGGTCCGGGAGAGCGGGCGGGGCTACTACGCGGCGGCCGTCGTGGTGGTGGTGGCGGCTCTGGAGCGCCATGGGCGGCGTCCGGGTGAGGTGGCCGGGAGTGGAGTCGTGGAGTGGAGTGAGTGATGTGGCCTCGCCCTCGCCACTCCTCCCTCCCACGCGGCCGGCGCCGGGGCTTAAATAGGCCGGGCTTTCTCCCTGGGCCGCTGCTTTCGTGGCATGCGCCAAACCGAAAGCCGCGTCCATTTCAACTTGGGCGACGGCGCCTCCATGCAAAGCGGTTTGGATCGTGTTTTTGCTCGGAAGAAGCGGGCAAGCGGTCAATGGGAAAAGAAGGAATAATGATAATAAACGGGCGAGCAAAAGAGTAAAGGGGAAAAGGGTTGATGCATGTTGGCCCGTTCCTCGTGATTCGTTGCGTTTGATTGGCCTTTTCCATCGTCATCGGTGGACGGATGTTTACGGACCCATCGGGTGCGTGCAAAAGTTTTCGAGCTGATCGAAAGCGGAAAGCGAGTTCGATTAAAAATCATGCAAATACGAAACGATTTCCTCTCGCAAAGAAGCTACTAGACTGTTTTTCTTTACACTCAACCCTACGAACGCATGCACATGCATTTCGTAGACAATGAGAGGCCGTCTCCCACGGAATGAACATCGCCAAAAATTGTAAAGTGAATCTGAAATATTTTGAAACGCAAGATCTACAGTGTATATATAGGTTGTGTGATGGGTCATTTTAGAGGGATTTTGCGGCAGGCCACGTTCAGCTCGTCCTTTGTGACGCCGCGGCCGACACTGTTCACGTGAGGGTGGAGTTAAATGTTCCGGGCAGGG